TACGAAATTTCAAGTTGAAGCGACTTATTCCTCCGGAGTTATAGCTGATAAAACATTCCAGGTCCATGGGACGTGCCGCTCCCGCTTTTACAAACTCACCTATATATAGCCTACTATAAGCACCTACTATAGATACGTCTGCGTACCAAATTTCAAATTCACGTGACATATGATTCCAATTAAAGCGCCTACACACCAAATTTCAAGTTCTTGGGACTTATGGTTCCCAAGTTATAGTTGATAAAATTTGTTCTGTCAAAATTTTGTTCGATTCTGTCCGTCCGTTTAGACTGCAACTTGGCACATACATACATACATACGTACTTCCACAAATATATAGTAGATATCTATCCTTCTCTTAGCGAAAAATAATTTGTGGGGTATCTCGGCCACAGGGCCACCTATGGTGTAAGTTTAAAGTTCCAATATTTCTTTTCAATTGGCTAAATTGTATTCTAAATATGAGCCAAATCGGCAAGTAAATGCAATTTTTAAGAAGATCCTGATCCCAGCGCCACCTAGCGAGCAAATTTTTGGTAGAAATATTTCTTTTCATAGTACTAATATATGTTCCAAATATGAACGAAATCGGTCCAGCTGTTAAGTAGTTTAGTGACATTTAATGTATAGAAACCTCTATGGCGCGTATTCATAGTCCAGCAACTAAGTCGAAACTAACAACGTTGCAACTTAAAATTAAGTACCAACTTAAAATTTACCTCTATTCATAGTCGCATTTCAGACTTCTACTAAGTAGTTTCGATATAGCAAAACGAGTGTGAAAATGTATCGATTTTTCTTTACGATATTTTGGAAAAATTACATTTTTATTAAATAATGTCAAGCTTGATCATCCGTTTATGTAATTTTTATTTTCATTGCATGATTATGCCAAAGAATAAGGTATAATTTTCTTGTTAATTGTGTGAAATAGCCAGAACAACCGCAGTGATGTGAAGTCGATGTTTATCGAAAGCATGCTGTGAAACATACAAATAGTAGATATCTAAATGTTATGCACAAATTTACTTTAAAAGAACTAGCGTGAAACTGACTTATTATTTGAGAATTTATCTAAATTATTCCAATTATAAAATTGTGATGTAGCTTTATTCGAAATGTAGTACGCATTTAATTTCATCTTCCGATTAAAATGGATCGGTCTTTGTAAATTTTAATTGGAGATTATTCAATATAATCAAATTCACCCCCTACCAACTTAATTTTTACATATTTCGTCTGTTTTCCCTTAATTTGATAAAATACTTCTTCCTAGTTACGACTTAGTTGCAGCTGCAGCCGAAACTAAATTTTAAGTTGGTACTTAGCCAGAAAAGTCGAAACTAAGGCGACTATGAATAGTTTTAGTTGTGACTTAGAATAGTTTCGACTTAGTTGAGTACTAAATATGACTATGAATATGCGCCTATCAGACTAAAATTGATTGGGCTATGAAAGTGTGTATTCAGAAAAATTCAAACACTTCCGAGAAAAAAGTTTGAAATATAGGTGAAAATTTGTTGCAATTTTTTGAAGTTTTCTATAAATTGTTAAACTTGGGTTTATATGGGGTTTGTTAGAGAAAAAACTGTATTTTAATTGAAAATTCTCAAAAATATACAAATAAACATAAGTTGCACACAATATCACTTCGAAATGGCGTGCTATAGATATGACCGATACTGTACATATAGACATATAAGGGGAAATCTTTGGAAATGGGGATGGGGGTCTTTGGAATGGGGTTTCCGAGACAAAGCAGCTGCACTGCCAAGTGCGGTTTCTGTACCTTCGTCAATACTATTTATATGTGTAAATGTCAGTAAGTAAATAGTTATTCACACAAAAAAAAAAAATACGGCTTAAATGAATAATTTGTTTGCTAAAATCCAGAAAATCCGGAAATTGCTAGTGCAACTCGCATAAATTCTGAAGAAAATATTGCAACTTTGGAAATCTAACTCAATCAAATTTTGCAATAGGGCGTTCTTCAACTAAATTTTGAAATAGAGGGTTGTTGAGGGTTTTGCTAAAATCGAGAAAATCAGGAAATTTCTAGTGCAACTCGCATAAATTCTGAAAAAAAATATTGCAGCTTTGAAAGTCTATCTCAATCAAATTCTCCAATAGGGCGTCTTTCAAATAAATTTTGAAACAGAGGGTTGTTGAAAAGTTTTTTGAGATAGGGCGTTTTCGAACTGGCTGCCGAGATAAGTCGATCTTTCACTCAGCATTGACACTAATGGTGTTTTCGTTTCTACCAAAAAATGTCGCCTTTTGATTGCCCTTTTTCTCTTTTCGTGTGTGAATTAGGACTAAATTTGCAGTGATACCCTTTAACAGGATTGAATGTAACACCAAATACATTTTGCACCGTGGAAGAGCAACATTTTTTTGAAGAAACGAAATTACTATAAGTATGCTCCATTTGGTGTTCCCAACGCAGATAAGTTATTCCTCATCTCTTGCCAACGCAACGACGACTCTTTTCAGGGGTATGGGAATGTCTTCAATACCAACATGACCTTGCAATAAAAGAAGTTGTTTTTGAATTCGCTAAGCAATAACGCGTTCGTACATATGTATGTAGCTTTTGTTATATGCTTCATCGTATCTACGTGAACCAAAGCCGAAAGAGGGTTAATGTAAACAAATATACGAATTGTTTACATTTAAATTTTCAAATAAGCGTACGTCAAATATTGATTATACTTTGTTTATTACATTATGAAAGAATGGTGAATTCGACTTTGACTTCGAATAACTTTTGACCGAGTTAACCCATCGAAAAACAGCTTCAGAACTTTTTTGTACAGCACAAAATTCTCTACAAAAGCACGGCAAGACCTTTATAGTACAACGTATCGTTCATTAAATATAAAAATCAGAAGTAAAAAAAACACTTCGATTTCCCATAAGAATAACAGGAAAATAAATAATCAGGCAGGTTCTGCAATTCACTTCCGAGTGAATTTGAACCAAATTCACTTTGAATCCGACATTTGGTGTTCTGTGTTTCACTTTCCGAGTTTCATTTCCACATTTTTTTCCAAAATTAATTCCGAGTGAATTTGGATGTTCTGATAAACGAATCCGCGAAAAAATCTTCGGATTTCATTCACTTCGTTTCAAGTTTGTGGATTTTATGCATACACAAAAATTTTAAATTAGCGGTTGTGATCGTGACGAAAATGTGAGTAAATTTTAAATTATTATTGAAATACATTAATATTAAAACTAATAAGAATAAAAGAGTAACAAATTTTACACAAATTAAATGTTTAAGGGGAAAACATAAGAATGCGCAACAGGATACAATCCTTCTCCAATTCATGGAGAACTATCGGGATATCGCTCGAGGCTTCGTGAAAGGTGACAAAGCCAAAGTAGATGCACTCTGGAAGGAGCTGGTAGAAGATTTGAATGCCCACGGCCCACCACATAAGGATATGTCTGGCTGGAAAAAGGTGACCAAGTTAATTTTTTCTACGTTAATCAACCTTTCTAATGTAAATACTTTAACAGGTTTGGATGGATTGGAAGGCCTTCGTCAGGAAAAAAGTTGCTCACAACAACACCGAAGCTAGGGCAACCGGAGGAGGTCCATTCAACAAGCATGTCCTGACGAAAACAGAGGAAGCAATTGCCCGTTTATGTGGAATATATACGGTGGTGGAAGGTATTGCCAACACAGCAGACTTCGGTGCACCTACTGGAAGCAATGAGATTTCTTCGGAGGCTTCCAGTGACGATATACCATCCACTAGTGCCGCTGCTTCAACACGGTCCCGAAGGCGTGAGCCTGCAGTTTCCGACTCACTTAAGACTAACATTGGGGAGCAGACAAGTGCCATGAAAAGTTTGGTAGATGGGTTGCAGGACAATGTAGACGCCACAAACGAAATAAGCACCGGCATAAAAAGTCTATGCGAAGCTGTGAAGGAAATGACAGTTGCCATACAAGAAGGTAATCGGGAGAAAAAAAGGCATCATCTCCAAATGGAGAGGCTGCGTCACACGGAGAATGAGCTCAAACAAAAAGAGTGTGAGTTAGAGGAGTTAAAAATGTATTTGAAATACCACTCCAAACCAAGTAATTAGATAACACTCTCCACTTTTGTAAATATGTAGTTTTATGTAAATATCTATCTGTAAATAATTATCTGTAAATATTTTTTGTAAATAGTTGTCTGTAAATAGTTTTTAAATGTACATATATTATTTTTTAAATAGGAAATTTAACTTTTGTTCCAATAAAAAGTGAATTATATTTTATTTTAAATATAAATGTTGTTTTATTTAAGGAGATGAATTAAATTTTCAGGTATTTGTATGAAGGTTCATTATCGCCTCATCAAGTGTAGACGCGGTTAATATTTCTTCAGCAACAGCATATTCATTTCCATCGTCTTCAATGTCAAACTCAATTAACTCTTGCACTTTGTAGTGTTTGCAAACATTATGCAAAGCGCAGCAAACATTTGTTATTTGTAACACCTTTTGTGGTTGGTACTGAAGACAGCGGGCTATGGTTGAAGAGCATAACCAGCATCACCCAAAAGCCAAGACCCGCGATGTCCGTTTTCGTATCGCCGCTGGAAATAGTGCTGAGCTCTACTAACACTCCAAATTAAAGCGTCATGGCTTGATCCGGGGCGACGAGCGTCAACTGCTTTGATAACCATATTGTAGTCACAAATCTAAAACAAACGGTTTCAACCATTTAGCTCAAATACATAGAGAATCATTTTCTTCAAAAGTAACAACACTTACGATCATTGCATTGATACTAAAATAACCTTTTCGATTATAAAAAAGACTGTGATCTTTATGTGGCTTTGTTATTTGTATATGCGTTCCATCTATACATCCAATAACGCCCGGAATGCCAAATTTTTGCTGGAAATGTTGTTTCGATTTAGCCAGCTCATTTTCCGTCATATTTAATTTAATCCAATGTGGACATAAATGCCTTTCTAAAATTTTGAGCAGTCGTTTTGTTACTTTAGCCACCGTACTTCGCCCATTGCAATGCAGCTATCTTTTCCCACTGCTTTCTGAAAACCGCCTTCAGCTAAGAATCTCAAAGTAGCTGCCAGTTGCAGTTGCGTTGGAATGGATGTGCCTTTTATGTGAGGGTCAACAACGTTCAACAGCATAATAAAGGCATCTTTGTTGACTCTGTAGTTGGACACGAAACTACGAAATTGGTTGAACATTTGAACTTCTTGCAAATATTACATACTTACACCGATTCAGGAACCTCTAACGGATTGGAATGATCCCGCAGTATTCTTCTATTAAGGGCTTCTTCTGCATGCTCCTCAGTTTCCATAAATATGGTAGCAAACGCAATTAAAGCACTCATTTTTCGTTTTTCATTTAAATCTTTGTTATTTATTTGTGTTTAATTGACAACTTTGCATGCTAAAAGTTTGTTAGATTGTGTCAAATTGGCAGATGTCAGATGTAAAGTTCATTATTAGGGTGAATGCAATCCGAGTGCGAAAATGAACAAATATTTCGTTTTCCAGAACACCAAAATTAAATTCACTCGGATTTGGATTCATTTCCAAATTCACTTTCACTCGGATTCCAGAACCTACCTGAATACAAAAAAAAAACTTTTTAATATACAACGCTTTTATAAATGGACTAAAAAGTAAAAAATAATATTTCTCAGTCCCATCGAATTTGTTTTGATAACTTTTGATTTTGAAATTTTAGCAAAAGTCGTTATAAACAATTTATGAGATTGAAAATGAGAAGCGTGGGGCGCATGTAATAGACACCTGAATTGATATGAAGGGTAATATATGTTCGTTCATATGTATGTGGATATATGAATAACGACCGCTTAAAATCGATCTCAAATTTGTACTTTCTCTGTAGAAATATTAGGTCTATGTTATGTAGTTTTATTATTGTCAATTTAATATAATGCTTAATGTGACCAACCGTACTTCTTTCGGAAGTACAGTACTGCTTATTTAGCTCTTGTACTTTGTACTTCGAAGTACAGTCAAATGTACTTCTTTGCAATATTTTGTACTTCAGGTCCTGTAGTTCTCCGATCTTCCGGACGATCGTCACATGGCCTGGGCGATTAATTCGTTCAAACCGTTCGCCTGGGACCGATGACGTCATACTTGCGAACTGCGTGAGGACCGGGTACATCCCCAAGGCTTGGAAGATAGTCAGTGTTGGAGGATAGTCATTGTTGCGGTGCAGTGTTGCACACATTGCTAAGGTGGTCAGAGGAAGCCTTCACGCAGTAGGGGCCTTCCTCGATGTCGACGGGGCCTTCAACAATATCTGGGGGTTGAAACAAACCGAATAAGGCTTATATACAGCTTACTTTGTGACAGAACTGTCGCGGTGGAGTGGGAGAGCGCCTGCACTCAGTGCAGAGTCAATAGGGGTACTCCCCAAGGTGGTGTTCTCTCCCCCCTGCTCTGGACTACGATTTTAAACGATCTTCTGGAGGAACTGGAAAGAGTGAGCTGCTGGGTGATCACCTATGTAGATGATGTGGAACTTTTGGTTAAGGGACGACTTCTACCCACCATTTTTTGTTCAGACTCAAAGCTACCTTGTCCAGGTAACTGGTGGGCGAGAAACGGCGGCCTCGCAGTGTATCCCAGTAAGATGGAACTGGTCCTGTTTACCAAGAAGTACAAGATACCCGTTTTGGCCCTTTCCTCGAGTGGGGGTGTCAAGTACTTAGGCTTGGTCCTGGATAAGAAGCTGTCGTGGAAGCCTAACATTGAGGAAAGGGTAATAAAAGGCGTCGGTTGTCTTGTACTGCTGTAGGGGAGCTATCGGTAAAAGGTAAGGTCTCTCGACCAAATTAATTTATTAGCTCCATGGAACCAGATTTAAGCTTATCTTGTTTCACGGAGACCTTGTCTGGCCTCTAGCTGCCATCAAGGAAGCGGTAGACTCACTGCCAAAGGGTGTGATGGTGCTTTAGAATCGGTAAAGGAATGGTACCAGGTCAAAGTGCCATCGTGGAAAACTGCGTGGCTCATGACCTGGCGTTGAAAAGGCACCCTAAAATCGTTATCCCTAGATAAGGAGCAACTACGGACGCCACTGTCCTCCTGCGGTACCACGCTTGGATGGTTGGGCCTAGTGTGAGCTGGGCCCTTATCTTACTTAATACCTAATAAAATGGACAAAAGAAAGCGATGCTCCTTTTGTGACATAAAAGAGGAAAATAAGACGTTTATCCGCTGCAGCAAATGTTTTTATAAGGCACTTTAAAATACCTTTTGCAGCGCAAGTAACAAGTGGCCCATCGTTACCCCTTAAAGGGGCCGAATACCACGTTACCTCTTAAGAGCTAATGATGAGGGTTCTGACAGGCTATTGTGCGATTGATATTCACTCGGTAAGACTAGGAATTTCAACTGATCTCTTTTGTATCAGCTGTCAAGAGGAAGATAAAGAGGAATCATCTCCACACTTTCTTTTACACTGCCCAACATTCGCGAGGCTAAGGTGGAAACATTTTGGCTCGCTCTTCTGAACTGACGCTGAGCTCTCAGAAATAGAAATTAGCCGCATTCGAAATTTCGTTATCGGCTTGCGGTGTTAACCTAACCAAACCCAACCCGTACTTCTTTGAGCTATGAAATAGTTGGTCACATTAATAATGCTTAGTATTGCATGCGCCCCACGCTTTTCAATTTCAACCTCATAAATTGTTTATTACGACTTTTGCTAAAATTTCAAAATCAAAAGTTATCAAAACAAATTCTATGGGACTGAGAAATATTATCTTCTACTTTTTAGTCCATTTATAAAAGCGTTGTATATTAAAAAGCTTTTTTTATATTATTTATTTTCTACATTTTAGTCTTGTCCGTATAAAATTTTGTAATAGATATTAAAATAGGTCAACGATATTAATAGATAGGTGCACACACATGCATTTACATATGTATGTACATACATACGAGCACCAATTAATTTCATTTAGGACCAAATTCACAGTGCGTAGTTAACCACTGATAAAAGTTTAACTATTGATTTTGATATACACAACGCTCAGTTAACAAAAGTCTAAACCAGCATGCCCCCATAGTTAAAATTGAAATTTTTTTGGTGGATCGAATTTCAAATTTGAATAGAAAAGTATTGATATTTAGAATTTGTATATTTTCAGGCGATATGAATTTTCATAGTTGATTAAGTGACTGTAAAGCTCTTGTTGGTGGTTAAGTTAATAATCGTTTAACTAAGCACTGTGAATCCCGCCCTTAAAGAAATGGTGTGTCATCCATTTCCGCTGTAGCGTACGTAGTGCATAGATGACATCTACCTTGCCCTATGCACTACAGATGTCGCCTTATTCACTAGACTTTTATAG